TTTAACTGGTATTCATCTGATAGTCCCTCATCTGGTTTGCAGCTGAGAGTTTTAGAAAGGAAATATATCCAAGTTCAGACTTCCCTTTCAGAACTTCTGAGACTTTTTAAAGAAATGTGAAGTATGCAAACTTTAACAGAGATGTATTGAACAGGGAAACAGATGAAGGAGACTTACGGACATGAAAGATAATGCTGGAGTATTTTGCTGAAAAACCTAAAAATCGTGTGTGTGTGTGTTGGCTCACTGAATATATATTATCAGTCTTTTAATGACCAGAAATTCTCCTCCTTCCCCCATTAAAGTATGTTATCAAGGGGGGAAAAAAGTTTTAAAAATATTTCGGTTGAGATTTTTGAATCACATTTTCACATTTGGATGGATCTGGATTAGAAATTTAATAGGAACTGGACACCCAAATCTCTTAGATGGCTTTGAAAATCACATCCTTAAAGTGCTGCCCAAAGCAAGGAAATTCATTTAGGCTGAAACATCTGTCCTAAATTCATCCAGCTGTGTATGTCGAGAAATCATCATGCATTTTAATGTATAGTGGTCATAAAATAACTAACATGGCCATTTAATTCACAGGGGTCACAAGGAAAACTGGCTTGATCAGGTGGGGACATTTGAATGTATAGTTCTGACAACCTTAATTTAACGTGGTTGGTTTGTCAAACCTTGACAGAACTAGTATGCCGAACTGAATAGAGATAATATGTAATGAAGCCAGACCTCTTGCTCAGCTAAAGAAGGTTGTAGTTAATGTTTCATGTCTTCACAAAAAAGTCTTGATACAAGGGAATTATCAAAGTCAGAATTGGGCTATTTTAAATTATTCATATTTCTGAAATGTAGTGAGATGACTCTCTGTAGGGTAGTTGAGTGGATCATTGTAATATGTATGGGACTTGGAGCGTGGTTTTTTTATTTTTTTTTTTCCTTCCTCTGGGTCTTTAGTGTCTGGATCAGACAAGTTGTTCTGGAACTGAGCCAGAGGTGGTCTGGAATTTAAACTGCACAGGGCATCAAAACTACTTACAAACTATCAAAGTGATCAAAATCTACAAGCACCATAATAAGAAAAGAGGAGATTTTGGTGGATGAATCAAGGAAAAACTCTCAGTAATTGAATGCCCTCACCTGCAGCTAGCACTAGAAAGAAGAGATTAAGGTGGTTGGATTGCACAGTTTCTTATCTCAGCTCCAAACAGTCAGGATTACTTGTGCAGTCCCAAAGGGGAACAGCTTTTCTACCAAATTCCTGAAGTTTAGTGGCACTAGAAGACGCCTCTCACAAGTATGAATATCGAGAGGCCATTTCAAAGAACTACTATGCCTGAGGCAGTGTGGTCTGCTAGGTAGGGCACTAGACTGAGACTCGGACTTGGTTTCCATTCTTGACTGCCACCAAATTGTTGTGTAAACTGAGTCAGGCCACTTCACCTCTATTTTCCCTCCCACTGTTTCTTAGCTATTTAGATTAAGCTCATCAGGTCAGGGATTGTGGCCCAGAGTCTCAAAGCTATTTAGGTACCTAACTTCCCACTGGTTTCAAAGCACCCTTGAGGATACGTGTCTCTCTTATGCGTTTGCACAATGTCTAGCACAATGTGTCCCAATCTCATTGCATATAATAGAAAATTGCAATAATGATCTTTTAGACCATTCTACACTGGTGATGAAGACTGGATTTTCTGAATGTCTCTAACTTCAGATCATCCCAAACCCCCAAAGCCTGTGTCACAGATTTTGTAAATGTATTTCCACATAAGGACTTTAAAATATATACAGTATATAAAATATACAGGTGTTCTTCATATTTGCAGAACTATTTTATACTAGTGTATATCTAAAAACTAAATTGGAAAGCAACACACTGAAGAGTAGGGAAGACATTAAAAGAACATCCTGTCCCAGGTAAAATTCAAATATGGGTGGGAGAAAAGGCCCTCTTTCATACTCTCAGCTTGAATTTAATGGATTCTTATTCATTGAGATGCTACTTTGCTGTTGACTCAAAGCCAAGCTCAAAAGTTAGCCAGTAAAATCTAACATGTGATGCAATCTGTTGCTTCATGATGTATTGCCAGTCCCTGGTTACATATCCTCTCAGCACTTTGTTCTTTGCAGAGTAGAATTTTTGATATAGCTTTTATATCAACTTTGTAGTAGAGATGGATTTTAGAAGTGTGGTACAGGGCAACGATAAGAGATTTGGTGACAGCGTAGCTGTGAGGAGAGAGGAAAGAAAGGCCTTCAAAGTTGTGAGGTTGAATGGCTAGAGGATAGTGGAGTTATGACTGGTGTTGGGGGAGGAAAAGTGGCAACAGAATAGGAGAGATGGAAGTTTAGTTTTAGCCCTGCATGGTTTCAGGAAGTGGTACCATACCCTGGGGAGATGTTGGAAAGTGAGTAGGAGAGGTGCACTTGGATACATGGGGAAGGATAGATGAAATAAACTACGTGTTGAGTGTTAATGCAATAGGAGAAGGAAAGGAAGGAGAGAGGGAAGAAGGAAAACAGGGTTTTCTGAGGTGACCCCAGTTGTAGTTGCTCTCTTTACAAAGAGTGCTCTTTGACTCCAGCAATGGAGCTGTGTTTATTTTAAAAACTGTTTCAGGGCCGCATCTTAGTATTGATTTGACCATGTATAAAACTCCCTTTGGCTGGACTAGGATCTATGCATATGAATCGATGCATGGCATGGCCCGGCCCCTGGTGAGAAGCTCTTTTTGAGTCACAATAGAAGTAGACACAAAAGAAAAACAAGTTTTGTTGCAATATTTCACTTATTCAGCAGCATCTGGTTGAGGTGCTTTACTGAGTCTGGCTTGGTGTGAATGATGATTTATGAAGTATGGAGATTTTGTTTTGAATGATTATAGCTGCCAGCTGGTTGTTGTTCCATGTTTGTTCTTGTTATTAGCAATTAACTTGTGTATCCGTTTTTCACATCAGGAGTATTTATTTGTTGCAACTACACTGGGATGGCTGACTGTTTCAGGTGAGATGAGTTACAGAAAGGAAGTAAAAATTCAGAATGAATAATTCAACACTCTCTACAAATATTACACACACGTGAGTGCGCACGCACACCCACTGTTATGAAGAATCCTGGTGTGCTATGTCTGAGTTTTTATATATATATATAAAAGAGAGCAAAACCCCACTAACCCAGATTTCTGTGCATGCAGAATATTAGAGATGGGATTTGGCAGGTGGTGCTGAGAGCAGAATTTCCCCCTGTTTTCAGACTGATAGACTTTCTATAGTCTGACTATATATAATCACTGCATACTCCCATTGACATCAGTTGCTATTATGCAGCAGCTGCATAACCAGCAACTCTGTGGGATGAAGTGGGGGGACATATGTTTGTTTCCTATGTTAAAAACATATTGTGGGGAACAAAACAATCAAAAAGATTTTATAAGGTTTTGATGTGCAGCTGCTAATCCACATTCTCTCACAGGTCTGCAGACCTGATATGGATGCCATGTGGGCAGGGCCAGAAAAAACTGAAGTGGCTGGGAATCTGCTGGAAACTCTATTCCACAACCCCACAGATCCCTAGCTAAATGAATAGGGATCAATATGATCATCTAGTCTGACCTCCTGCATAAGACAAACGATAGAACTTCACATAGTGATTCTTGTATCAGCCCCATAGCATCTAGTTGAGCTAAATCATATCTGTGTGAGAACATCTTGATTTAAAGCTGAACATGTCAGAGAATCCACCATGCCCATAAGTAAATTGTTCAAATGGTTAATTACCCTCGTAAAAACAACCACCACCTCATTTCTAATCTGAAATTGTATAGCATCAGCTTCCAGCCACTGTCTTGTCATACAGTTGTCTGCTACTTTAAACAGACCTAAAAACATCAAGAAACCTTCATCCCAAGTATACACCTATAGACTGTGATGAAGTCATCGCTTAACCGTCTCTTGGATAAACGAAAGAGCTGATTTGAGTTCAAGACTCTTAATATAAAGCAAATTTTCCAAAATTCATAACTTTTGTTGCTGTTTTCTGAACCATTTTCAATTTGACAGCATTCTGTTTGTAGTGTGGACACCAGAACTGGACATAGGAGTAGTCCAATAATAGTCTCACTAATGTCATAAATCGTGGTAATAACACCTCCCTACAACTACTTGATATTCTCCTCCTTATGCTTCCCAGGATCACTTTTGCCCTCTTAGCCATCGTGTTGCAATGGGTGCTCATGTTGAGTTGAGGAGTGTCTCTTTAAATAGTTTGTGAGCCCTCTAATGCCCTCACTGTCTTTCATGTTCCAGAACTCTGCCAGAGCAGAGTGTGTGTGTGTGTGTGTGTATGTGTGTGTGTGTGTGTGTAACTAGCCCTTGCATATTGTATATAGTTAATGAGCATGGTTACAGTATTTGGATCACACTGTATCTCTATGTCTCTTTGTATTATGTTTGTACATGATTGTTGTGTGCCTTTTGCTCTTTATGCAATGATCATAATTACCCCCTGCATGTGTACTTAATAGGGTTTGACTGTTGGCTCCACAGCCCAGACCTCTACCACTTGAACTAAATGAATAACTGTTAGCCAGCAACAGTAACATTAGTAAGCTGTTCTTTTTTGTGGACCATCCACTTGAGGGCATGCAAAACACTGAATGATGGGGGGGTGTATGTGTGTGTGTGGGTGTTCCTAATTCCCACTGTTAAATAGTGATTTTTCCATTGCTTATAATTTAGCAAAATCCGAGTGGCCTTTTACAGGGACAGCAAAAGGCAACCTCTGTGATCCTAGGACTATCAGCCTATCTGATAGAGATGAAAGTTTGCCCAGTGTTTAGTGTGTTACTGGGAAATTGGGAGACCTGCATGCAAGTCTCTGCTCCACCACAGAGTTCCTGTGTGACCTTGGGCAAGTCACTTAACCTCTCTGGTCCAGATCCTCAATCATATTGAGACCCTAACTCATTGATTTCAGTGGGAATTAGGTGTTCAAATACCTTAGAAGCTCTATTTGTCTGTTCTTCCATGCTCCATCTGTAAAGTGAGAATAAATAGCACTTTCCTATATCACGAGAGTGTTGTGAGGTGCTCCAACAACAGTAATGGGGGGTATATCAGTACCTAATAGATAGCTTTAAAGTTCCTGCTCCAAACTCTGTTGGTGCTAAAGCTGGAATAAAAAAGTAAGGAAAATAATTAACATTTGCAAAATCACCTGTTTCTTACTAACCTTGTTCTATAAAATGGCTGAACCATTTTTGGTCAAATTTTCCCAAAAAATCCAACCTGAAGCACTGACCAAACCTTCAAAATTTCAGTCCGACTGGGTAAAATTTGCCCAAGTTACATAAAGGAATTTATAATAGAAAGGGGTTGGGAACAGGTGTCACTACTGCTCCAGCTATAACAATACGTCATATAGCACTTTTCACCTACAAAAACCTATGGCTTACATCATCTCTAGGTATGTGTTTAGTATGATTAATGGACTTTGCCATAAACTGAGCAATACCTTACTCTGGAGTAGTCTTCTTGAACCCAGACTAAGAGGTCCCACCAGCCTTAGTGTGGTAGCAGAATTTGGCCTTAAGTGATTTTGTTTCAAACATCACCACAATTAGGTTGTATTTGCAGCTGAAGACTTGTCAGTGATTTTATTTTGGCTCACTTGTTCACAGAAAATAGTACAGTTCATTTAGTCACAACATATTACTGCTGCAGAGTTTGAGAGAGATTATTCAGCAGTCACATATTTTCTCATGCAATTTATTTGAAATGATGCCGTGAAAATACCGATAGACAAGCATTGTTCTAGGTGATTTCAGTCTTGTTGATGAGCATTTTTGTTGATCTAATTCAAATTTATCTTCATCTGCTGGAGACATTTTCAGCGACGGCAAAGGCCTGACAGTTTCAAAACAAAATCTCCTCAAGATGGGCTTATTTTCTGTTAAAATTGGGCTGAGATGTACTATTACGATTCAAAGTGCAAAAATGGACCATATTCAACAAGTTTCCTTGTGACTCGCAACATCTTTGTTGAGAGATGAAAAGCTGAAGAAACAACGGAAAAGAACTCGCGTGCTCGGAGTCTGCTCAAAATGATTAAAACTGATGAGAGACCAGGTGGGTGAAGTACAGTAATATCTTTTATGGGACCAACTTCTGTTGGTGAAAGAGACAAGCTTTCAAGCTTACCCAGAGCTCTTCTTCAGAAGTTGGTCCCATAAAAGATGGTATCTCACCCACCTGGTGTTACTCAGATCCTGGGACAAACATCAGCTCTGATGACATTGCATAAAGCTGATATTACTAAGGCACGCTTAATAGAAATGTTTAGTGATTATTTAATTTGTTTAGTTTTTGATGAATCACAGATGTAATTACTACTTTAAATTGCCCTACATTATAGTAATGAATTTAAACAGCAATAAAGCATGACTGTATTTTGGGTTTGTTTCTGCTCTCCCTTGCAGCACCACTCTATAGTGCAAGGAGTAATTACTCCAATGCAAGCAAGAATAGAATCTGGCTCAGTACTGTGCTTGAATGTTCCATTAGTACACATCTCAAATTACTTGTGAACAACCTTGTGTGCCAACCCCTTGAGACCTTTGTTAAAGAAACATTGTTTCCATTTCTGCAGATGGACCAGGGTCCTTTTCAGGAGAATGCCCTAAGGGCTTGATCTTGTAGGGTGCTGAGCATAATAGATCAGACCCAGCAAAACCCTTAACCACACGAATAGTTGTATTGATTAATTAATTTCTCATGCATAAAGGTAAGTGTGTGTGTTTAAGTTACATATGTGCATAAGTGCTTTATTGGATCAAGGCCAAATGCACAGCACTTTGCAAGATCAAGCCCTAAAACATGGCTGAAAAGGTGTTCTATTATAATATGGCTCTTTGTTTAAATATTGGTTTTTAATTTTAAATTTATTTTCCCAATTTATGCAATATATCTTTCTACTATGATACACAGTTGATTACAGAAAGCTACATCATCTTGTTGATAAATGTATTGCTCGCTGCCTATTATTTTAAATGAACGTTGATTATATTTTGTAAATATATTTAACTCTTTCCCCCTCAACCTTAGTTGGCCTCAACTTTTTCTGCAATTCCACTGCAAACATTCCATCTGCTTCTTTCAGTCAGCAGCCTTGCTGGTGTGTTTTCCCAACTCAGCGCCAATTTCTACTTTTCATTCTCATTTAAAAGATCTCTCGAGTAGGGTGTTCAGACAGAAAGTGTGAAGAATAGGGACAGGGGCATGGGGGGGGTAATAGGCGCCTGTATAAGACAATACCCTGAATATTGGGACTGTCCCTATAAAATCGGGCTATCTGGTGACCCTAATCTCAGGAGCTGGGTCACACAGTAACACATAGGATTTAAGTTGTCTAATTAGAAATGGAAAGCGAAAAGTGCTAGAAAAATTACTGCAGAAGTGGATGCTGAGGGCAAGCTGTCAGAATTAATTAAATCATCAGCACTGGTGTATTCCCTCAAGTAACTTCTCTTTCTTCAATGGAGTTACTCAGGGTTTAACACTTAGGTTAGAAAAATGAGACTGTGTCCATAGGGATATAAGATCAACTAGTTTTCTTTCGTGATTTTTGAGCTTTGACAAGGTGGGTCAATGACAGTTTGGTTGGGCTTCAGTTGGGGCTAGCTGATTTAAAAAAACCCAAACCCACTTGAGCCCCCCTAACTTATGAGTCTTTCTGTTACTCTGATCTCTTCCTGCATTTGATAGGGCAGAAGAGCCGAGAGAAACTTTTCTGTCAACACTTTTTTTTGGGGGGGGGGGGGAAAGGCTTTGACACCTAAACATTTTGCGAATGTGTCAGTTTTGCTGAATGAAAATAAATCCAAGATTAAACATTTTCAAAATGTGAAACACGTTGATTTTTTTCAGTTCCGAAGGATTTTTGTTTAGACTGTGTGTCAGTGTCACAATTGGCCCTTACTTTGGCTGGGTCATCCAAACATTGTCATCATAATCGAGAAGCTGTAAGTAGAGCTGGTCAGGAATGAGGGGCTTTTTCCTGTGAAATATTTTCACTTTGTTGAAAAAAATTAAAAACTCAATAACTGTAAATCTTTGCCTGAAAATTTGTTTAGCTGTGAACACAATTTTACATCAAAAACAGTTTTGATGGGGAAAAAATTCAACTCTCTCTAGTTATGACTGCATCTCTCTCTCGGGTGTGTGGGTGCGCACGCGCACATTTTTAACAAGTTTATTTACTGCTTGGGAGAAGCTTAGAACTGATGGTCCTGGAGACGGAAGTACTCCGTTCGTAAATTGGGTACACACTGGCAGCAGCAGGGCAAACACCTTCACGCAACTACACCAATGTCAGGAGGGGTCCCCTTTAGAGGTGAGAAGTTGGTACAGTCTCTGTATTCATTCAGTCCTTGGCTTCTCTTGAGAATGTGAGCAAGGGTGTCCCCTATAACAGCGGACATCGCTAAGGTTGCCCGCTGGCTTAGCACTGGCCATCTAATCCTATGCCAACAGTAAGTTTTTGGTCACTGCTAATTTAGGTTCAATTTGATTCAGCAATTTGAGGCTACACAATCCAATGTAAATTTTGGGAGCAATCCAGTGCCTTAGTATTTCTCTTTGATGCTCTCGATGTGCTCCCGCTCAATAGCACTTCAGAGGCAGCTACTCTGATTTCCAGTTGAGTCTGTATTTACAAAGGCTAAATTGGGAGTGATTGTCAATGCCTGATTTTAGCTTTTTAAATGCAAAATGAAATTGAAATCAGCCAACCAGGACATCTTTGAAGTGCTATTGAGATCAATGGCCAAACTGAAAGAGGTATGTGGGTCTTTTCTTTGAAGTTCAGTTGTTGCACTCAGCTGTACTTGAAGTGGCTGGGCTTGATTTCAAGTTTTACTGTGACATTTAAGCAGCAAAATTTGGAGTTTCAAACAGCTTCCAATTTTGTTATTCTATGTGAAGTAGAACTTCAAAGAGACATATGTGCCTCTAAAGAACTATTTAGTGTCTGGGTCCCAGCAAGATGGGTAGGAAAAAGTGCTAGCAACCAAACTACACTGGCTGTAAGATGCACTGGGTGCTGCAACTCTTGGTATGTTTCAGACAATAATTAGAAGGTAAATGGCTTTTATCTAATGGAGATAGTGAAACATTTGGTGATGAGGTTAGTAATGACAGACACCTCGTTCCTGTGTGGGTAATTAAACATGGATATGACATTACAAAAAAGACCCAACTGCAATCCAGCTGTAGACTCAATTGGACTTGACTCTGATTTCACATTAATCATAACTCCAATTAATACAATAGCTACTTGTGATTCATACCAGTGTATCCAAGCTCACACTCAGGCCATAAGACACCTGCTGGAAATACTATATAAAGTGCAAGTGTGGGTGGTGGTCAAACTTGATTTCCACTATATTTATTATTTTCCCCCCAGTCTGCATAGGCAGGAACAGACTTTAATTGTCCTTTTAAAATATCTGAGTTGCTATTTTCTGACAATACTTCACAAGCAGATGGCCACATTGGTATTTAGTTTAATCACAGAAGGCTTTTAACGCAAAGTAACAAATGGACCTGGCTGTGAGTGAAATGCTGCTGAATGCAGCAGTCCCAGTTTGATGGAGAGGCAAAGAGAGGGGTAAAATGAAATACCACGCAGTTCACAGAACAAACCCCTGCAGCTATTGCCCATTAGCCTTATGCTTCACAAGGCACTCCAGGCACACTGTTTTTTTTTTTTAATACTTTATACAGGAAAAATATTGTCCACAAATACGCTTGCATGATATATATTAAAGAAAAAAAGAAGTCAAGATTTTAAATAAATAAACTCCGTAACACTTTAGAAATACTGGCTTTGCTTTCTCTGACATTAGAAACTCCAGTTGCAAGAAAACAAGCTTATGTTACATTAAGGGTGGTGAACATGCAGAGTTGAATTTGCACTGCTTTTTAAGACACTTGAACTTGTAAAAAAGAATCCCACGAGGTTGCAGCTTATTAGGTCTAGTGATTAAATATACCAAACCTCCTCCCATGCATTTCCATGCCCAGGACAGTTTTACAAGTTATTTTTTATAAATTTCGTCTTTCATATTTGCAGGCCTCTTTAATATTAAGAGCCTGATTTTTCACTTACTCTAATTTTATGCCTGTTAATGCCAATGGGACAGATTTGGTCCCTCCCTCCGATCCCCACCTTACTTGTTTTGAGACATACCAGTGAATTTTAACTGTGCTCTGCCCTGGTTGGGTGCAAAATTCCGGTCTTGTAACCAGTTAGGCACACAATTGTTTTTCTGTGTGCATTGGCCTTCCCCAACAGCAACCCTAATGCCCAAGTTTTCCCTCCCTACTCTAAGTTTGTATAGGCATAGAATATCAGGGTTGGAAGGGGCTTCAGGATATCTAGTCCAACCCCCTGCTCAAAGCAGGACCAATCCCCAAATGGCCCCCTCAAGGATTGAACTCACAACCCTGGGTTTAGCAGGCCAATGCTCAAACCACTGAGCTATGAGTGCAGTGCAGTTTCTCAAATAGTGGGCGAGTCTGACCCAAGGGGCTCCAACCCCCTGTATGTCAGCTATCTCAAAGGGTTTACCGGGATAGGTCTCCTGGAAGCCATGGGCGGGTTGAATATGCCTATAACTTATTGTGCTAGGCATATTACTTACACCATTCTCTAAGTACATATTGCTGTCCAGATGCTTGCAATGATCTCCTGATCAAACTCATCTCTGCTAGAGAGAAATAGATACCATACACCTGGTCTTAGTGGGAGATTGAATCGCTGCTGCCCAGCAGGGAAAACTCTAGGCAGATCTGAATTCTGTCCAACAAAAACAGTCCATAAAGGTCCAGTAGAGTCAGATGAAAGACTCAAAGCAGCTGGCCACCAGCAGACAACGGGTTCCTATTTCAAGGAACAGAACAGAGTTGTTACAGCCAGACCCACCTAAAAATCCACGAATCTTGTGGACAGCAAGAACTGGATAATAATCAAAACATTGCTTTCTATGGCCTTTCTTTTTGCCTGTAAATGAAGCAGGAGAATAAGACACAAAATGAACAATTTACATGGAAGAATTTGTACATCAGTGAAGCAGCACCTGCTGTACACATTCTAGGACTGGCTGGTTTTGCACCAGTGTGGGAGAGCCTCAACATATTGCTTTAATCTCATGTGCTAATAGCAGCTAGTGAATAGTTAAAATTCTTTTAATTATGTTAATACAAATGACAGTTTAAAAGTGCATTTCTTCTCATAGGTATTATTGTGGTTTCAGGCACTAGGGTGGCAAAGATGCTCAGCACCTTGCAGGATTGAACCTATAGGCCCCAATCCTGCAATGTTTGTGCATAGTTAGAAACTCCCACTCCTTTCTCCCCTCCCCCTCCCTTTGACCTCAGTGGCACTTTGTGCAAGTGGCGGGGCTCTGCCGATGTGCAACAAGTTTCAGGATCAGGGCTTTGGAGCAGATCAAAGTTATTTCCCTAGGAACCATCTTAGAATAATTTTGCGCTAGTTTATTTTACATTATGCAGTCTCTTGCAAAGATATTAGATTCCTTGTAAGAATAGCAGTTTGCATTCCAAATGCATTATTTTTGCATAATGGATTTTAAGAGACCAGGATGAACATACAGTGAAATGTCAGAAAAGGCAAACCAAACACATTTGGTACTAGGCATTGACTTTAAATCACATTAATTCTTCAGCTTCTCTTGCATCAAACCCACCAAACTGACTTAGTTTTCTAATTTATTTTTACATTTGGCCATTCAGGTGGCTTTGGTTTACTTCAGTGTGTGTCTGGGGTGTGTGGGTATGTGTAAATAGCACAGCTAATTTATTACAAAGTAAATCAGCTTCTGATCAATTATTTTACACCTTACAATTGCTTAGTTTTATTGCCCTTATTTAATGTGGGGATTCAGTGTATGCACAAGTTGAGGTTTTCTTTAGTCTATTTTTATTCTGATTTAGAATAAAATGGCTCAAATTCTGCGCATTTTGGTCATATGGGTAGGTCCCATGCATGGGATTACATTAATTTTTCTATGGACCTCCATGCAAACAGGTGAAAGAGGTCCCCCTCATTCCATTGTGCCACTTCTCAACTATTTCCTCCCCCTCTTCCATGTCTCTTCTTCCATTCCTTAGCTCCCCTATTAGCCATTCCCTCTCTGCACCTACCACCCCACACATGGCTGCCACCACTAGCACAAAGGGAGCCAGTGCCCTCATGTGAAACGTGTCAGTCATGCACCTCACCCTCTGCCTTTAAGACGGCCAGGGTACCTTGCTGACAATAGAGTATCATCTTTAGCCTACTATGAGGACTACAGCCTGCCAGGACATAGTGAAGTACCATAAATCTGAGTTCTGACAGGTCCACCTTCCTGACTGGAAGAAGTATAGCGGTGGCAACCAGCAGTCTAAATTGCTGTGAGCAGAAACTACAGCTATGTTGTTGTATGGAACCAGATTGAAGCTTAGGTACACCAAAATTTCAGAGCAGACCATTGAAAATTTACATTTTATGGAATTGATCTCATTTTGGGCCAGATTCTATGTGCTCTTTGCTCTACCGCACACCAGCAGAGAGAACATTCAGGAGTCTTTACACCAGCAATCCCTGGGATCTGCTCACTGCTGCTTCCTTGATGGTGGCAGATGCTGGGAATGGAATGAAAGCACAGTGTTAGCCTCAGCCTCGTTCTGCACCATCCCACTGGGTAGGGCCAGCATGCTAAACTGGTCCATCTGGATCAGATAATGCACAGCACAGCACAACTCCAGATAGACCGCCTGCCTAGGAGCAAGGCAGTGTCGCTCACGTGCTCCTCCCGGGTTGGTGCACCCCTGCACCACCCCCTGACCCTCATACAGGGGTGTGGCATAAGTACCACAATCTGACCTAATTTTCAACAGATTTTTACTAAATATTCACAGGGACATGAGAGTACAGTTTGTCAATACTCATACATTTTTGATTCTGCCCTTCAAATTACAGATTTCACTGCATTACATGTGTGGCCTGTATGTTGTTGCACAGTAGTAACGGTTTACCTGCTGCTGGTTGAAGTCTGATCTGTGTATTTTTTAAAGAGATTGCTTGTGTGGTAAATCCCTGACTCCCACTAAAAGCAATAAGAAGTAGCATAGGCAAGGTCTTGCTAATGTACATCAGTGCTGATCTGAAGGAACCACCTTGAGGTGTGAAAGAGTAGTTTAGTCTCAGTCAGTCGTTGACCTCTTTTCTGAGGCTGATGCCACGTGTGATGGTGTTGGCTTGTGTTGTGGATGTACGTCCACCAGGCCCTGGATTCAGACCACAAAGGCCACTGAACGCCCCTCAGATGGTTTCCATACTAAAGAAAAAATCTCTGTTAGTTGGCCTGTACAATCCACTCACTGTTTGAGTTAAAATAACGGTGCTGCATCAGAGTTCCTGTTTCTGAGATTTATGGTTTTCTTTCCTCTCCCTGCACAAAACTGCAACCCTATTACAGAGCAGGCAGCAGAACATGTAATGGATTCCAGACTCCTTTGGTTATAATAATATTATGACTATACATGGCCCTCTTTGTCTCAAGCAAATACCTAAGTGGTCTGCTATGACAAACAGTTTAAACATTTCTGGCCACCTCTACCCTTTATAGAGTGCACCATGCTTTTGAGAAGGAAACTGGACAGATTTGTCCCTTTAAATACCTCAGTTTTTTAGTTGCAGGATATGAAAACCACTAACTGAAATATTAAGAATAAGATTTACACAGTATTTGAATTGGGGCAGGAAATAAATGGTTCTGTGCAGAGAAAGTAGTAACTTGCACATCATGCAGAAGGATCCCAGTCCACTTTATGATTTTGGGACAATTTCTTAGACTCTAAGGTCTCTGGGACAGTTGCTGTCTCAAGGGGGCAGAGCGACTCTCTGAACTCCTGGGTATGCATAGATTTTAGGACCAGACAGGGCCCATTAGGATCACTTAGTCTGACCTCCTTCATAACACAAGCCATAGAATTTCACCCAGTGTTTGTGATTTCAAGCCAATAATTGCTGGTCAAGCTCTGGCAATCTTCTAGAAAGACATCCAGTCTTGAGTTAAAGCATACTTACTGCATTCTGTATGACTAGCCAGCTCAGCTGACCAGAACAGGTGGGGGAATGGCAACAGAAGGAGCAATCTGTCTGCCTCCTCCCCACCGATCCCTGCCCACGGGGTGACGGGTACCTTAGAGGAGTAGGAAAGGAGAGACTAAGGTCCTTGGGTAGCTGTTTTCTCCACTCACTTACTCTGGTGTATCCTGGTACCTAGTGAAGCACGGGGCCTGCAATTCTGCCTGGTCCTTATGTAAGCCACGCATGGAGAAGAAGATGGCTCCTTGCATCCTCACATCCCCTCTCTCCCCACAACTGCATAATTGCCAACCAGTAGTTAGCAGATAGCCATCGCTTTCCCCACAACCATATTGCGTCCACCTCTGGGATGGGCAGTCATTTAATTGCACCCGTAACTGTGTAGTACAAGAGCTGAATAATCCCATCCAATGGAAGTTGCAAGGGAAATAGAGGACACACACTAATTAAAGGGTAACATTTCAGAGCAACCGCAGGGGACAGTTGTTTGCACCCAATTTTCCTTTCACATCAATGTAACGCGCCGGCTTCAATAGGGTTACTCTGGATTGACACCAATTAAACATCTGAGAGGAGACTCCGAACCCCAATAACATCAGCCAGAGCAGCAGGCCCAGATTTGTAGGCGGTGTCGGGCAATTTACAACAATAGTCGTCTGAGCTGGAGTAGAAAAACATTCCAAGTTCTCGTTTCATATAATGAATATTTCATGAGGCATTTCAACAAACAAAGTATCAACCAAGATAAATGGGCTTCATGGAGTAATTCCTCAGCAAATCAGTAAAGCTAATGGGCTCAATTGTCTGCTGGTGTAACTCCCTTGGACTTTTGTGGAGTTACGGCAGCAGAGAATTTGCCCCAATGTTTCTTAATTTAGAGGTAGTTTTAAAAATTTTTCTTTTATCTTTGTAATTATTCTTTTCAAAGATGAAGGCACAATTCTACCAAATAAGTGCATCCTAAAACTGACAAAAGGAGATGTTTAGGAACAGCTGGATTCTGAATTCCTTTGCTTATCCAAAACGCCTGTTTGGGTGCATGAAGAATGTTGGAACAGACTCCAGGTGAGCTACCATAAGTTGCCTTTCTTTTATCCACAGAAAAGAAATTGCACACTGATCTAATTATTGAGGGAAAATGTAATACACCTTGCATGCATGACCCTTTGTCAGCCTCATGATTGTTCTTGGTGTATTTGTATATTGTAAATTTTTGTGTTGCAAGACCAGAAAACAGTTTGTATTTTAAACTAATTGCAGCACACTGAGGCTGTGGGGTCATGCACCATCAAAGCTCAGGAGCTGGACACAATATAGAAAGCAAGACAGATGAAACATTTTGGGGGATAATATGAAGTAAGAATTACTATACTCTGGGGAAATTTTCTTTTTACAATTTCAGCAACGCTTTAGTTTATATTTATATGCGTTACTTTGTGTGTGTGTTTCTGTGCACACAAATTGGGCTATGCCACATATCAATAAATCTCTTAACATTTCAATATGAGGTTTTATTATTGAGTTGAAACAGAGCTTAATTATATACAGAAACTATGTTAGCCAGTAAGACACTGCCAATTCTTAAAAAAAACCTCAGTTTGCTAAGTAGAGGGAGACTGATTCATTAACCAGCAAGGAAACTTCGATATGTCTGAGACACTTAAGCGTCTATGTAAAATTAAAAGCTTTATGGCTGGAATCACAGCATTGCTGAAATACCTCAAGGTCCTGGAATCTGCCCTTGGAGCAATGAAAATTTAAATATA